TCTACAAATAAATTTCAAGTTCCAGATTCCTTCAAGTCATTTGCAAACCATTCCAACCTTAAAGTCTTCTTCAGTGATTTCAATCAATTGGTTCCAGAACATGATCATGTTCAAACAAAGGTTCCCAAGTTCCAACCAAGAGTCCTTAGTTTGTCAAATTGTTGGGCAAATGAGGAACTCACTAAACCTCCTAGCCTTCTCTATTACCTATATGACTTGAGATATGTTGATCTTTCATTTAACCAATTTATGGGAGCCTTACCTTATTGGTTGTTTGAAAATAATACGAGATTACAAGTTGCTGTTATGAAGAACAATTCTTTCATGGGTTCTTTCCACTTGCCATCACGACCTAATCTTGATGTTCGGGAAATAGATATATCGAATAACCAAATACAAGGTGAAATCCCATTAAATATCAGTATGACTTTTCCATATTCAACATGGTTATTCTTGTCTGGAAACAATTTTGAAGGAGAGATATCCAATGTCCACTTTTCTGGGTTTTCATATCTAAGCATATTGGACATAAGCAACAACAATTTGTCAGGAAAGCTTCCAAGGTGGACAAAGAATCTCCTTGGTTTGGTTGAATTGGATTTATCCAACAATCACTTTGATGGTTCAATTCCAGAGGAATTTTGCTACAAGGCTGACCTTTGGCTTCTCGACCTATCCCACAACAATTTATCTGGGTCTCTACCACATTGCGCTAGTCTACCCTCACCATACTTATCGCATATCTATTTGAGCAAAAATAGACTAAATGGTCTACTAACACATTCATTCTTGAACATCTCTTCATTGGAGACACTTGATCTTGGAGAAAACAGCCTTTCTGGAAGCATTCCAAAATGGATCAGCAACCTTTCTTCCTTGAGTATCTTGCGTCTAAAAGGTAATCTCTTTTTTGGTGAAATTCCGAATGAAATATGTGAGTTGGACCAACTACGAATCATGGATTTGTCTCATAATCAACTTTCTGGTCATATACCCTCTTGTTTGGCACATTTAATTGGCGCTCCGAATTCATTTTCATCATGGGGCCTTACTATCAAATCTTCAACATTGAACCTTGACACATCGAACCTTGACACATCGACAGAAATGGAAGCTAGATTAATGCAAGAGGTATATACACAATTGGATAGCCATATACAAGATTGGATAGAACTTGTTACCAAGTGGTGGTCTTACACTTATGAAGGCAACATTCTTGATTACATGTCTGAAATTGATCTCTCTTGCAACCAATTAACAGGCTTAATCCCACTTGCAATAGGAAACTTAAGTTACATTCATTCACTTAACTTGTCCCATAACAACTTAACTGGATCCATACCTTCTACCTTCTCAAATTTGAAACAACTTGAGAGCTTGGACCTTTCTTTCAATGATTTGAATGGTGAGATTCCATCTCAACTTACTGAGCTAAACTTTTTGGCAGTTTTTAGTGTTGCACACAACAATCTTTTTGGTCCTATCCCATATGGAAAAGGACAGTTTGGAACCTTTGACAGCAACAGTTATGAGGGAAACGCGCTTCTTTGTGGAGCTCCATTGGAAAAAGGTTGCGAGGACTCTTTTGAACTACAACCAAAGGTACCAAATTCCTTAAATGAAAAAAGAGAAGGCAGTTTGATAGATATGGATGTTTTCTATATAAGCCTTTTAGTTACTTATGTGGTTGTTTTGTTATCAATTGGAGCAGTCCTATACATAAATCCATATTGGCGACAGGCAGGTTTTATTTGATTGAGAGGTGTGTCACCAATTGCGACTATTTAATCTTGGATAATATTCTAAGATTCTAGTGTTGTAATAATGTAACTAATTTATGTCTGCTAGGATGTACCTTCATCCATGCCAAGTTTTACTAATACAATTCAATTTTCATGAATTAGTACTACTTAATTTACTTTTCATTGATTCCTACTTCGCACTATTTTTTAATTAAATTGTGTGTTCCATCTCTTTAGGCTACTCTAGTTGATCAGCTAGGCAGTTATGGCTAATTTAAATAGAGACCATTATTCTAGACTATTTAAACTTAGTTGTGAATAGTAAGTCAGGAAGGATTATTTTGCAGTGGACAGATTGAAGCAAGCGTTTTTGAACAGAGTATTTCAATTACTAAAAGGAATCATGGTTTTATCTTCATTTCAAGGTGCACAATCCTAATATTAATAGCTTTTTGCCCATATTGATTGCTAGAGTTCCAATTTAATTGAGTCAAAGGAATATATGTAAAAGCATACATGTTATGTCGTGGTTTAAGATACTGGAGTTCTAGGTTAAGTGCTGTATTTACCTTTTTCTTTTGTTTTGAGACTGATTTGCATGATGAGGTTGGGTTTTTTATTTTTTCATTTTTTTTGAGGTTTTGAGAGAATGGTCAAGGTAGATTAGAAGCTTTTTGTGTCATGTACACCAGGTGTTTGATAAATTGCTTGTATGGGATGGGGTTATCTTGTTTTTTCTGTTTTGGTGAGTCAGTTCATTGTTATCCTGCATCTTATCTTTAAAGTTGCATTAGGAGTTGGGTTAGGATTCCTTTTAATTTGTGTAATGACATATTAAGTGTTTTTTTGTATAATATAAATTATGCATAAAAACCTTTAATATTAAAATTTAAATAGATAAAACTATATTTTATTATATGAAATTTCCTAATTTACATAAAAAATTAAAGGTTAAATCTTTTTTTTGTCTCTCAACTATTGTACGGACTCCCGATTAAGTCCTTAAACTCAAAAAATCCTCAATTTGATCTTTACTATTTACCATTTTTACCCCAATTTGATCATTCTATTAAAAATCCCATTACTTATGCTGTTAATTCACTGTTATAGGGTGATGTGGCAAAATATTATACA